ATATATAATATATATGGAGCCATGACGGAGGTGGGGAGCACATGGAAAAGCTTCAGCAATATGGGGGGTAAATGCCATTTGGTTGGGCTATAAAAGGCAAAATTGCACACCAGGGTCCAACAGTTTATTTCTGTGTGGAGCGAGAGATAACTGAGCTGCCAATGGTGCCAAGTGTTAAATCTTAGTGACACTGTGTTAATCTACCATTGTCAGTTCAGTCTTTATCTGAGAACTCTGTTTGCTTTAAGTTTAGTTCTGGCTCATAGGGGGATATTAGAGCCACTTGTTTAAAATTATTTTTTTATTGGCAATTTATAAAAGGTGAATCCCTGACTGTGATGCTGTTCCAGTCCTTAGCTTTTGTGACTTCAAGTTTTAACTTTTACAACGCTATCTTTATTTTCCTAATTTTTTTCTTTTCATTTCTTGTGTCAACATCTTGCCCTTTTTCAGTTCCCTGTGGCGGGGTGTTAACTGAGCGCAGAGGTACGATTCTTTCTCCTGGGTACCCTGAGTCGTACTCCAACTATCTGAACTGTGCTTGGAGAATCTCTGTTCCAGAAGGAGCTGGAATACAAGTGAGACCACCATGACTGATTAAAAAAATCATTTTTTTTTCAATTCATCATTTGCTTATATCAAGTTGTTTTGGTTTTATGAGTGCAGTGAGGCTTTTTTTCCCCCTGTCAGATTCAAGTTGTGACCTTTGCCACTGAGCACAACTGGGATTCACTGGACTTTTTTGACGGGGTCGACGCCAATGCTCCGAGGCTCGGTAGCTACTCAGGTAAATCTGATCTAACTGTATTTGAGCTGTCGGCTCCCACTTGAATTTCAATCAGACGTCGCAAGAATCCAGCAGCAGACAGATGGGATGATGGGGCTGATGACATTTGCCATGTCCTTTGAGAAGGCTGTGTAAAACCCAGTTGGAGACATCAGAGAAAGGAGAAAATATATCTTCCTCCTTCCTTTCACAATGCTCCAGTCTTTGCAGCAGATATTTTCATTATGTAAGCCCCATTCCAGTCAGGATTTTTTTTTTACAAATATAGCATTGCCATAGGGCTCACATTAATGAAAATGGTGCACATGCCACATGGTAACCAACAAGAAACAGGCGATCTCATTATTTTAGATGTAAAAAAGAAAAAAAAATCCTAATATGAGAAGGACTGGTGCAGCGTAATGACTTCTGCCTCAATATCAGTTTTACGAGATGAGCTGTCGGAAATTTCAAGAGGTGAATATCTCATTTTAGAACAAAGCTCTTTGAATAGTAAAATAGATCCTCAGGACACATCCAGCTGTGTGGAGTACAAATACAGTGTGAAAAGGTTAAAGCTTTTTAAATGGAAGGGAATCAGTTTTACCTTGAGCTAAACTGATAAAAAGATTATTATGATTATACTGGATGTCAAAATCTCTTGTAAATGTCCAAAAACAGGCAGCTTGATTAGACGTACATTCAGTGTAATATTATAAGTGTAAAATAAAATTAAAAAAGGCCACTAACACATGTTCATTATATATAGTTCACTTTCTGAATGTAAAACCCGAGTTAAAATGTTGATGTTTGTCTCAGGACAATGACATCATCCTGCCCACTGCTAACCCTTCTAACCGAAGATGATATTTAAAATCTAAATTCAAAATGTGTTCATTGAAATAAATACGGATGGTAACTGTGGTCCGGCAGTTTGAAGAGAAGCTCAGACACCAGACGTAACTGCAAGTTTGATATCTTGTAGGGAAGCATTAGCAGCGCTAACATTGTTAGCTGCATTTAACCGTAGCGGCTGCTATTCAAAATTTAACATAACATTTAAGATTTGTCTTTTGCATTTACATTTAGGATTTGATAGTTATATTATTTAACATTTAGTGGAAATTTGCATTATCTTTGAACAGTGGTAAGTGTTGCAATATGCCAACCTTTCTTGACAAGAACATAAGTTTGCCTTGTTACTTTTTTCTTGTTTTTCAAGAGTTCTTGGTTCACCAAATGCTGTTTGCAAAAATAACAATTAAATGCTGGAGGAAATTTTTAAAACTAGGATTTTACACTCAATGATCTAAATAATGAAAATGTGTTAAGTGACTTTTTTAGCTTGTATTTTAGACGCAGTGCCTCATATAACTTGTAATATGTTTTGGATGTTAAATTGGAATTAATGAGTGTGAGGTTCTAAAGAAGAAATACAGTCTGTCAGAGCAAATGTTAGTACAAGTATAAAAAAGGAAGTAGAATGATACATATTATCCATCTCTTTTTATAGTGGTGATAATAAGGTCTTGATTGTGTTTTGTACATAATCTAAAATGTGGTTTAAAAATTTACTGAACTGCTTTTTCTGTTGTATAATGCAGGTACAACAATTCCCCAGCTGCTAAACAGTACATCCAACAACCTGTACTTGACCTTCCAGTCTGACATCAGTGTTTCTGCTGCTGGTTTCCACTTGGAGTACACAGGTATGAAAGATGGCATGTCTGCCTGCCAGTCACTTTGTCTTTGTCTGTCTGCCAAGGGCTTCCAGCTGCTGCTCAGGGATAAAAGAAATACAGAGGAGCAGCTGGTCTTGAAAACACAGTTGGTCTTAGAAATAAATTTCTGTACGCGTGGTATGAGAGGGAGTGTGCTTTATTTTTTCCCCTCTTACTATCTTTTAATTTCCAGTCATGATATCTGCATTTTTCACATTCTAGCTCAATAATCCCTAGTGCTTTTTTTATTACTTTTTTAAATAATTCTCATATACTGTAGCTGGACCCACATTCATTTTTACTTTATTTTTTTAAGGCTTGAATTTGTTCATCTCTCAGTGGGTTATTTACTTAGAGGCTGATTTGCTGAGGAGCATGCTTAACATTTATTGTGCCCCAACGTTTAAAGAGTGTGGCTGGCCCCTGTGGAATGACTAATTAAGTAAGCCCTCACAGTCAGAAAAAATATGTGCAAATGAGAATAGAAGTAATTCTTAATGAAGCAGTCCACTGCTGCTGACATATTAGGCGCATGTCTTCCATTCTGTGTGTTTGTCTCACAGATGGATTTGAAGTCTGTATTTTCTCCGTCTGCTTCCAACATTCATCTTCTTGTGAGTTTGTTGCTTACAAACTCCATTTACAGCTGTGTCAAACTTATAAACAAGACTTGTGGCAGGGGAAAAAAAACAATCATAACCACATGAAAAATTAAAACTAAACGGAATATGATGTTCATAAAGTAATCAAAGTGTAATTAGAATGAGAGGATTTGAACAGCCCAAAGACAGAAATGAGCCATCATTATAACAGTTTGGTGAGCACTACAATTGATATTACTTCCAAGTAATAGTCAAATGGCATTGATCTATTATTTTAAAGTAATTTAATAAAAGATTCTGCCTTTGCTGTCAGTTGTAAGACCATCATTGTTGGATACAAAATGATTTTCAAGACCTTAAACGTTTTTCTAAACTGTGTTTTTTTTTCTTTTTGGCTCTAATCCACTCTGTAGCTCACTATCCCTCCTCCTACCAGCAGCAGCACCGACTGCTGAGATTCACCTCAGTGCCATCCATCTCAGTCAGCTATCTGTGTCTGTCTTAAACTTTGAGAGTTCTGCCTTTGTAAAGTGTGTGAAAGTCAGTCCATGAATCTTCAGAGAACTTCTGAACTTCTCTACTCTTCCTGATGCTAATCGTCCTTATTTTCTTACATGTTGCAAACACTCTCTTCATGTCATAGAGACAGGTTTGTTCCCACTAGAAGGTCAGATTACTAAAATGTAGCTTTTTGCTTGACACACAGACAGGTTTAATATATAGGTGTCCAAGAATTGGAAAAATCAAAAGTTCTAAAGTGCTTAAAAATGTTTTTTATTTAAAATATAATTGAAAAGTACCACTTAAAGGGCCAATAGTATGTGTTTCTCAGGCATAAATTTAAATACTATACCATAATAAAGTATCTATGTCAC